TGTTTCATCAAAACTATTCCGTACATACTTAAATTAAGTCTGATCAACAAATTTGGAGTGACCTTGACACAACACGTAAAATCGCTGCATAAACACAACACGGTTTCATAATTTAAATCAAGCAAAAAACGCAGTCAAATGTAAAAAATATATTTTTTGCTCTCTAATCATTAATGGCAGATCAGCAATGAATTAAAGAATTGAACGTCATTGTTTCAAGGCAAGAATGACTTCATAAGGCATCAGAGCAATTCAATCAATCAATTGACGACCGGCGCTACTCAAATTGGTGCTCGATTATTCTTCTGTATAGCGAGAGTGTATGGTACGGTACACACAACGCAACGCACACATCCATGAAACATCGTACGATCTGCAGCAGCCAATGGGAGAGAACGGCGTGGTGGGCTCGGCTCCCCACCACACCGTTGGTATGCATACTTCTCAGAACGGCACTGTTAAAAATAACCACCTGTCAAACTGGGTACACACGATGTCGCCATACTCGAGGCCATTACCATTAGAGAGAGACGGACGGATGTCTTATGACCAAATTTCAATATTTAAATTTTGGATTATAAAATCGCTTCTCGGCTTATCGCAATCTAAAACTATAAAAGAAGGCTATTAATAATTAATTGTTTTTTTTGCAATTTTATTTGATCAGCTGAAAAACGTTTTAATGTCGTATACGAAAAGTATATCATAAAATTCTGACGTAACAAATAAAGGTATTCATAGGTGTCTCGAGATAAATCCGGAGACTCGATGAATTTCAAATCGCGTGCAGAACAGCTGCTAGCGCATAGTGCGCGGCGACCGCGTGTAACGAGACCGCGCTGACGCGTGTACGCCTTAACATCGTAAAAACAATATTTAGGTGTCTACTGTAGTGATACAACAATCTCAATTCAAAACCATGCCGTTGTTTTTTTTTTTTCCTACTTCAGCTGATAGCCTTGAGAGGCTATTTCAGCGTAACCTTAACTAGTAGATGAGCTCACGGGGCTCAACCAGAGTGACGCTAACACTGACCCTAGCAAGAGCAGTGCCTCGCAGAATCTACCACCGGATCGGAAACGCGACCCACTGAGAAGATCCGGCGAGAAACTCAGTGGGTTGTGTCTGTGAGTTAATTCGCTCGTCGAGCCCTTTGTCGCCAGCGACGGGTTCGACGAGGACGGTGACCGGTGTTTGTGTAACCTAAAAGCACCGTTAATGGATCAGGAGGATCCGTAATGACGTGTCATCGTTGTAACTTAAATTAATAAGGTATGGATTCCTTAGTATTATTAACGTTTATTAAAAGTAAATTCTGGTTTTGGCGGTATCTGCGTTCGCGTATCTCAATTTTGAAGCTGTCAAAAGAAAATTATTATTACAGGACATGATTTAGAACAAAATCTTCTAACACGAATAAATCGGATTAACTTTAAATCGTCATGTCTTGTGGTAAGCCGTAAATCAAATTCAAATGAATGAAGTCGAATGAATTAATTAAGTCTTAGGGTAAAATTACGTGACATCTGTTAACCACGGTAACTGCATAACACCAAGTGCGTATAGATCAAATCTACCCACGTAAAAAAGTACAAACCCGCGAAGGATTCTTTCAAGGCCAAGATATACTCCGGACCTGACGTAGATTGATGATCGTAAAACACAAATAGGTATACACATAGATTTCGATGGTCACAGTGATTCAGTGGAAAGGAAAGTTTATTTCTGACAACTGTACTTTCTGTCCAATAGATATTATCGAATTAGTATCGAACTGGAACGAACCGTGTTCGAAAACTAAAGAAACTGAATTTACGGTCTAATGGTTCGGAATAATTGATTCATAATTCAGCATTAAACGTTATTTTTTTGTTGTTTTTAATTTGCCCTTTACCTTGATTAAACAATTTAGGCTTGTTTTGTTGATCTATTTGTTAATTTTTATATCTCACAATATTAATAAAGTAAACTAATCTGATATATGTATCCCATTAAATATTTTTGATCGTTATTTTTAAGACTACAGATAAGGTTTCTGACTTAATTCCATGAAGATACGATAGATGGCGCGCAAGTAGTTATAATGAAATTGCATATCATTACACGGGTCAACACCAAATTTGACTTTGATTGCAAAGCATAAAATTTCGATATTTTAGATCGTAATTAGGTCAAAAAAAATTACATGGCATGAAACAGTTTGCTTTTGAACCTTAATAAATTGACCACATATGAAAAAAAATGCATCAGCATCGTATTTACACTTTCGTGACATTTTAAGTTTTTCTGGGCTTGTACAAAACACCTGATCGTTGTTTGTGACTCGAGTGCCATCTAGTGGCACTGTGTAAACGTAAACACCCAACTCTCATAGCGCGGTTTTTTTGAAAGAATTAAAATTAATTAATATTTATATGTATTATAAAAAAATTGAAAAATAAGTATTATTACTATAACTATCACAAAAACAAACTTTATACCAAAAAAAGGTTTTTTATTTTCGTTTGAATTATGAATAATTAACCGGAAAAACCTAGTATAAACGTTAGGACAAAGAACGAATTTTTTTTGTAGTGTTGTGTTATCTTTTAGATACCTTTCATACTATTTATACCTATATACTTACATACCTATTTATTTTTGATATTTTTTCAATCTAGTTTTCACATCGCGTTTAAAATTATCCAACCCCTACCCCTATATTTTCGTGAAGTTCGAAACAGGATGTCGTACTTGAGGATGCTCCATCGATATACACGAGTTCAAAGCATTTTGGTTTCTCTTGAAATCGAGAGGACTTCCGAACCTCAGCTTTCCGTTTTCAAATAAACTTTGAAAGCTTTCGCCAGATCAAAGCGTACCTGCCATTTCTATTATGATCGACAAGGTTTTGACTTAAATGAGATGAAAAACCTAGTCTCAATATTTTGATCAATTCTACCACGACTTTAAATTATAACCTTAATAAGAGTATAAAATGAATAGTTAACCATTAAATTATTTTCCTTAAATTTACACGAAATCGGGCCGTATTTTACCAATCATTAAATTTACAAACGGGTTTTTCGATTGCCTTCTAATTAATGAGTCATCCTTAACGGAGATTGAACATTTAATTAGTTTAGATATTGGTCAATTTATATTTATCTGCTTCGATGTGGTTAAAATGTAATAAAAAATTAAATATATTTTTTATTGCATAGATGAACAATGAGCTCAGGATGTATCTGGTGTTAATGATTGCCAGAGTCCATATCCTAATTAGAATGGTTGAGTAATAGTAATTAAATATTTTTTTGGTAATGCTTGCAGACATGCATGTATTATCTTACCCTACTCTAATTATAAGGAGACATCCTTAGCTTGGTTTTTATTGTTGACTAGCTGACCCGGCAGACTTCGTAGTGCCTCAATCGATAAATACACGACAAACAAAAGGAATTCGTCCGACCGGAGACACATCAAAGGGAAAACAAAATTGTTATTATTATTTAATTCCGAACATTTTCATATTTATCTACCTTTTAAACCTTCTCTGGAATTCCACAAATAATTCAAGACCAAAATTAGCCAAATCGGTCCAGCCGTTCTCGAGTTTTAGCGAGACTAACGAACAGCAGTTCATTTTTATATATATATAGATGATAGTGTGTACCTATTTCTGCGTACTAAGCTATCCTTTCTCTTCTTCATTGTCTTCTTTTAAATATCTTAAACAGTTAAGCTCGAAATTTGTTTTGTATTAAAGTAAATTAATTGGAGATATCTATCTATCTAACTAGTTAATTTATTATTGATATAAAAATATTGAATATCTTTCGTTTTGTTCTTAAGTATATCGTAACCTATTAATTCGTTATTTTAATTGTAGACGAGTTTTAGATTATTTTTTCGTATTGACAGGCATGTGTGACAGTATCTCTGTTGCAATCCACGCTGGGAAGTACTTTTCAGTGAACTTTCTCGGATACTATTCAGATGTAATAATAAAATACGTAAATACGGGCTGTGCAGTGTAGAATAGCACCATCCTTTATCATTTTATAGGTTTCGTAAAAGGCAACTAAAGATGATTTCAAATAATGGGCAGCAGAGTCGATTGAATATTATACTAGTGTACTTCGATCGAGAATCGCAGTAGGGCGTCTGTTAAACCCGCATGGATTGTTATCATCTTCTTTCCTATTTCTGCCGCGAAGAAGTCATGTGCTCCGATTTGAATAGTGGAATAGCTTATTCTATAATACACTTGATAATACAATACGGCACTTTATAATACAATACGGTAGGCAGCGGCTTGGCTCTGCCCCTGGCATTGCTGAAGTCCATGGGCGACGGTAACCACTCACCATCAGGTGGGCCGTGCGCTCGTCTGCCTACAAGGGCAATAAAAAAAAACAACTTCGACTTCATGGTTCAAGGTGGGTAGTGGCATTCGCATTTCTAAGGACGCTGGTAACATTTAAAAACAGTTGGATCGTGAGCTTATTCATCTATGTAAGTAATAGTAATTGAAAACAAACCAAATCATATCTGGTTGTTCGAAAAAGGCGACAAGGCCATCCTTAAATGTAGAATATTGTTTCAAGTGTGCGGAATAATAATACTACTGTTTACATATGACATCCTCTTCATCATTAGAATTCAGAAGTTTAAAAGCGTTGATTTATCGTATTATTGTATTTGCTCTGCAAAGATAAAATGTGTTTTTATGTGAGCGAATTATTTATAAAATCGCATCTTGAACATTTGTAAATTATATCTACACATTACACTATGTGAATTTTGTCGCTCTTTTGCATCTAAGCGGCATATATTACCAGTGACGTAGTGTGAGTCGAATTGAGGTACCACATTATTGTTTTCTTCAGTAAACCAAACACGCTTTCCAGTTTGACTTTTGGAAGAGTATACTCGTTGTCAAATCAATCCGTGCGGACTCACAGTACAATCAAGATCTCAGTACTTCAAAGCTAATAAAAATATTATCTTTGTCACAGATGCCGTTAAGGAGAATTGTAACAAGTATGAAGACCTGCTTCAGAGGTGTTCCATGGGGCTACCGGTTCTCAGTTCTCCCAACATAAGTTTCGCACTAACGCGTGACGATTTGGACAAGAGCTGCATGTAAGATGAACTTTAATTAAATACATTTATCACGATCTGAATTAAAACTACTTTTACTACTAATAACAATAACACTAGTACTTAATTTGGAGTTTTAAATAATAATATAAAATAGTGAAGTTCGGTCAAGCTTTGTCGTTACTAAATCGAAGTCGGAAGGAATCGATGACAGGTTCAAATTAATAAAGTCATTTATTGAAAAGAGTCGCGGCTAACTTAGCTATCGTATCTTAAAGATAGGAAAGAATATCTTCATACCAGAATTTCCCTGAAGTACCGACAGAAACTTTACAATGTTTTACTAGATTACCGAAAGATAACCCATACATTTTTAAATCTACAAATGTACCAAAAATACATTAATGAGGTGTCATGAAACTTCAGAAGAACTTATCTCCTGCTGTTAGAATATGATTATATTACTGATTTAATTCGAAAATATTTGATAAGCACGACTTCAGAACGTAATTCCCCGAACAAAGTTGTGTGCAAACTTTTAATACTGCACAATGATTTGTGTAAACAAAACTTTAAGGTTAAAATTTGTTATGCAAACATTCGGACACAACGTTAACAAACAAATAAACTACGCTAAGCCACGTTTTGTAAACAAACTCATAAACTAATTTTCCTTCAACGCACGAGACAATTGTTTCGATTGAATAAGGCTTCCTTGTATGGAAAATGCTTACGCAAGAAATCAAGTGTCTATTGTATCGGGATTTTTTTTCTTCAGTTTTCCTTTATTTATTACCCTATGGCCTACTTTGTGTAATTGATTACCGGGGTCCATGGATTCCACAACGTAAATGTCACTATCTTGACACGTCTAAATCTCAATATCATGGCTGCTCCATCTTTCTAATCGTATGATTACTTCACGACAAAAATCGGCAGGATGGTACGATGCTGGCTGACAATAATACATCCTAGTACTAGAAAATGGCGGTTGGCCAGTTGGACCACAATACTTAAAGATCGCTGCTCGACATTTTCCCTGAATCTGAAGCATTTTAAGACGCCCAAGGGAAGACATGGCTATTTTAGACCACTGCACTGAGAATTACTAACTCATGCTCCTACCTTCAGACACGAGCTTGAAGTCTCAGTATTATGGCTGCTCCATTCTCCTGACCGGAACGCATGACTGCTTCACCACAGAAATCGGCAGGATACTACTATGCTGGTTTACAATACATCCTAGCACCAGCAAATGGCAGTTGGTCGGTTGAACAGCAGTACGTGGTAACGATACTGAGAGACTGATGCTCGACATTCTCCGGTGAATCTCTTAGGCGTAGTTTAAGACGCCCACGATTACCACAAGAATTACTTATTCAATACATATTTTAGTTTAATCTTAATCCTATTATAAATATCAAATGTTTTTTTTTTAGAAATATAAATCATGAAAAAAATTCACAATTAATAACTTAGATTTTTGATTTGAAACATCTATAGTCGCGCGTAAATGGAGGAAGAGATAGACCTAAGAAGAAATGGATGGATTACGTGAAAGACGATATGTGTTAGAGGGGAGTGAGCGAAGAAATGGTATATGACAGAGGAGTATGGAAGAAGAAAATATGTTGCGTCGACCCCAGGTGACTGGGGCAGGAGAATCATGATAGTCGCACGTAAAACTTGATTGCTGGCGTGGCGACGCATGCCGTGGCGACGCCCAAGCGGCTGTTTCTTAGTATTCATATTTTATTTTTCATTGTGCCACATGAATTTCCTGTCGCAAAATATCCTTTGACAAGTACAAAATAATATCAAGTATCACATCTGCCAGTCTTATTGTGATGGCAAAATTTTTGGACTCCACATTATGAATCACAACAAAGTATAAATATATAATAAAATATTCGTATACAGGATATCGCTGGCAAGTCTTCTCATTTGCGTTTAATTTTCCGAAACATGTGAAAGTTTTGATGAAGATGACGCAAACGAGTGACTCCCGACCCCGGAACGGCTCGGCAGTTATACAGTTAGCTCGTCTTAATTTAGAGCCCTTGTTTGTGGTAAATAGCAATTCGAAACTAGTTGTCTGACTGGGTAAGTTCAGTGTAAGCTTTACGACTCCCTCTGAATAGCCAATGGGGCACTTTGCTGCGGTCCGCGCGGTTAATAACAAATTACGGAGCTAAGTTCAAAGAGAATCTTCATAATGTTTCGAGTTAATAGGTGTAATACGATAGATATATCTTTATAATCAGTAAGAAATGTATACAGGGAATTTTAATTTAATCTCACGTATATAGTTTAAATGGTATTGTTTTTGTGTAATAAAAAAGTGAGAACAAAATAACTATCTTATATAGTAGTAATTCAGTAATTCCGTTCACTGCGCTTCCACGCCAACTGCTGATTTTTTATCGGCCTATACACGCGAGTGAACACAATGGAATCTTGTCACCACCGCACACAGAGATCAGAAAATGGAAACAGGAAATTATTTAACCAGAAATCATGGTAATCGACACAGATTCGAAATTTAAATGCACCGGATTTTATTTTTCAGTCCGGGGGCTGAACTTCCTATGAGTTCCCCGCCTCTAGGGGACGACCTACCTACATGAATATGTAAGACTTGACGGTCTGCAGGTGTATAAAGCAGACCACGGGCCCAGGGATGTTTTAGTGCTCTATTCACTAAAGGACATCAGAACCCTGGCAGAGTAGAGGGGCTACCGTGGTCAACAATACAACCAGACTCGCGACGCCACCCCTCGAACGCCCGACCGACAGGTCGTCGAAGCGATAGTCGACGACTCTGTCGGCCGTCTCGATACGGCAGCCTGTCAGGCCGCCCCGGACGATGCCGCTGGTGTTCCGGAATACCCCGCTGGACCAGAACCAGCCTGCCAGGTCGGAACGCGATACACCGCCAACCGGTTGCACTTACACAACAGTTCCGTGCAACTGCTGCCATCCATGCATGCGCAAGAAGCACGTCGTGCGGTATCGCCCCCTCAGGTCGCCCCGTGACCTTCACCGGGGGGAGGTCGCGTCCTACAGGGCCTGAAGTCGGGTAAAAGTCCTTCTCCGGTCCCCGGCTTAGCGGTGAAGGATAGGTGCGGAAAGGGATCAGGCCTCCCTCTCTCGTTCCGCCGTCTCCTTCTGCGAAATGGTGGACTCGCAGAAGTCGAGCATCGCCTTCCAGGACAAACCTTTGACATCCTACCCAGATGTGGGCTTCAAAAGATTCACTTACTTGCGATGAACATTCCAAAATTGACAGAAGTTATTAGAAGCAATTCTCGCAACCAATAAATTGAATTTGTGCGGGTTAATTGATGACCCGTGTTTAACTTATGAAGCTTATCGTCCCTTGAAAGAATTTCAATCTACGAGCAGCGATTAATTATCTATATATTACAGATTTTTCGATACTGAACTCTTAAATAGGATTGTGATATTTATATGTAGGAAATTTGTATTATCTCATCCAAATTTTTTATCCTGAAGTGTAAAATTAATTATTTATGTTTTATTATATTTTTCAGAAATATACTCCATACTTGATTACTGTTTTTTGAGTATGATTAATGCGATGATAAATAAAAAATTAAAAAGAATACCTAAAATGTAAATATTTTATTTTTCGCTTTCAATACTATTAAGTATGCGCTTGATTTAAAAAAGACATAAAGTACTTAATCCTTTTCTAAACTAAAAGATACTGTTTAATTTCAAAGTTAAAAAATCATTTTCTTAAAGTTTTTATTTAAGCCTCTTCAATTCTAAAAGTGCGATGTGATAACAATAAAAACTAAAAACTCGGTATTGAATCGTAAAAGTAGTTTTAATTGTGTCTACGAAAATTTGAGAAAATATTAAAGAGTAGAAGTTACTTTGAATAGAACTTTCGGGTTATACGTACGTCTCAAGGCCAAGGGCTGTGGTTGAATTCTCGATTCTTGTCTATCAACGCCAACCAGTTTCTTTATTAATCGAGTGTCACGGTGAATTATTTCAATTTTTTTATTTTTTTATTTCTTAGGGGATTGGACGACTTCACAGCCCACCTGGTGTTAAGTGGCTACTGGAGCCCATAGACATCTACAACGTAAATGCGCCACCCACCTCGAGATATAAGTTTTAAGATCTCAGTATAGTTACAACGGCTACCCCACCCTTCGAACCGAAACGCATTACTGCTTCACGGCGGGAATAGGCGGGGTGGTGGTACCTACCCGTGCGGACTCCCAAGAGGTCCTACCACCAGTGATTACGCAAATTATAATTTTGCGGGTTTGATTTTTATTACACGATGTTATTCCTTCACCGTGGAAGTCAATCGTGAACATTTGTTGAGAAAAATTGGTACCCGCCTGCGGGATTCGAACACTAGTGCATCGCTACATACGAATGCACCGGACGTGTTATCCTTAAGGCCACAACAACTTCGAAACTTATTCTGTTGGGCTATTTTAAAAACAGAATAAACAAATACAATAGATAACATATATTTTCGTTGCAGAGACCTCCTTGCCGGTATCAAATGCATAGACAACTACACGGACGCGTGTATGGAGAAACGCGAGAAATTCCTCTTCCGTCGGATCTACGCTGGCATCACGGACGTCGTCCAAAGATTGTGCACCAGAGGTGAATACCAGGACGAATACCTGAAACATGCGACTTGTGTGAAAAGCGTCCGATCAGAATACGAAGTATGTAGTAAGAACTACGAAGTCACATTGACCACTTTGAGTAGCCGTAATGAGTATCAGACTGATGATATGTCAACAACACACGAAGACTACTTAAAGACTGTTTGTTGGTGAGTATTTATCATTGGAGTACATGTAGGTATAACGGATTTACGTGCTATCCACTCATAAACAGATAATATTTAATAACCTATTTATGTAGTTTTATTGTACTAGACAACCTCACGGCCTATGTTATGTTCAGTTGTTATCATTTCGTGTCTCGATGTGGTGGTAGATACTGCTTTTTTTTTTTTCCTACCTATGCTGATAGCCTTGAGAGGCTATTTCAGCTTTACCATAACGTTTGTAGATGAGCTCACGGGGCTCAAACCGGAATGTTGCTAACACTGACCCTAATAACAGCAGTGCTTCGCAGAATCTACCACCGGATCGGAAACGCGACCCACTGAGAAGATCCGGCGAGAAACTCAGTGGGCTGTATCTATGGGTTAATTCGCTCGTCGAGCCCTTCGTCGCAAGCGACGGGTTCGACGAGGACGGTGACCGGTGCTTGTGGTGCCTAAAAGCACCGTCAATGGATCAGGAGGATCCGTAATGACGTTCAAGATTCTGGGAAGCACTGCTTTGCTTGGGCTAGTGTTACAAAATGGCGGGAATAGCCTCTTAAACTACCAGCGAATAGGCAGACAAAAAAGTTGTCTATAGTCTCCGCTAACTCCTCAGCAACCGGTTGGCTTCGGTTCGTTTGCCCATCTACGTAACATTTAAAAAATAAAAACTTATGCTATAAAAATCGATCTAAATACGCAGTGTCACATCCGAGAACCGGATCTTATGATATGAACACGTTCGAACGGCATTCCTTCGATTACATTTTAAACGCGAAAATATATACATCATTTAGAAAAAACACAAAAAAACAAAAATATTTACTGTTAATTAATTTGTTACTGTTACTTTAAATTGACTTTTACTTTTTATGTGTTTAGTTAAAATATAGATAAAAAAAAAAACTATTTGACTAATAGTAAAACAAAAAAAAATGAAAACAAAATTTAAATTTTTAAATAACCACTCAAAAGTGTTTCCCCAACTGAATACTTCATTACGCGGAAACTTTTCTCGTTCAAATAATTAAGGTTTCAGGGCGACACTTAGAAAACAATTTTCTTCAAAAAAAATTACCATTAAATTAATTCGAACACAGAATTGAAAATAAAAAAGGAACTTATTAAAAACGAGGTCTGATTGAGACATCTGCCAGTACGACTAATGAATGGCGTCACTCAATTTGAGTTCCACAAATTAAACTGTCATGAAAGTTGTCAAGGAAACTTCTGCAGAATTCTAAAAGATGATCTCGAGACTTAAAATTAAATATTTAATGTTCGGTGTAAAACATTTTTTTTATTGTCTATAGATATCGTCAACGATCTTGAGGCATGAGGTCGAACCCCCAATTTCATTGTATTAAGGCTCTTCCACACTCCAAACCAAGCATGACTCTCGCGACAAAAATAGCCATTATGACATTTTAAATATGAGTTTTAACATTGACTGAAGAGCGTATCGTGAGTTAGTATGGGAGTCAGAGGGATTCACCATCGTCCTGCCTATTTCTGCAGTTTAATCATCTTTAGGTTACGGATTGACACACACTTGATGTATCAGCCGTTGTTTTAATGTTGGTCACAGTGTTCACATTGTGTTGGGCTCGGATAACTCCAGTTTGACCACGGCCCATCATCGTCATCATTGAAACACTATTAAAGCCTTCCCTGAATCTTGTATTAGATTGAAAACACAATTTAGGGTCTCTTAGTCCTGTCTCCTGACGTAATACGAACGTATTTCTCCAGAGGGTTTTTTCGGAACGATTGATTCGTCGGTTGATAACAGAGAAATGTTTAAAAAGAGTCGAGTTTTTCTTTTCAGAACATAGAAATTAGATATAGTTAGGTAACGTAATCATAATAATCTCATAGTAGCGAAAGGTTGTTGATTTATCCTCTTGTTAATTAAAAGAACAGCGAACTAACACGACTTTGTAAATGAGAGTCTAATATAGTACAAAAAGGAAGCATTTAATTATATAACATTGTTACTGTTAAAAACAAGTGAGCCTTTGTTGCCAAGAAGTATCTACTACTCCTACAAGAAGTATCTATAACAGTTACTGGTGGTAGGACCTCTTGTGAGTCCGTACGGGTAGGTACCACCACCCCGCCTATTTCTGCCGTGAAGCAGTAATGCGTTTCGGTTTGAAGGGTGGGGCAGTCGTTGTAACTACATTTACTGAGACCTTAGAACTTACATCTCAAGGTGGGTGGCGCATTTACGTTATAGATATTTATGGGCTCCAGTAACCATTTAACACCAAGTGGGCTTTACGCTCGTCCACCCATCTAAGCAATAAAAAAATCTAGAAGTACCTTTTTTATTTTTATTGCCGTATAGGCAGACGATCATACGGCCCACCTGATGGTGAGTGGTTACCGTCGCTCATGGACGTCAGCAATACCAGGGGCAGAGCCAAGCCGCTGCCTACCGTTTAATACTCTCCACAAGCCTCGTTTGAAGAAGGACATGTCATAGCGCTAGCTAAAAATGTCGAATAAAATTTGAACACATACACGAGTTGGTCACACCCAGAAAGAAAAATCTAATTTGCATTAACATAGACATAATATGCTTTCATCTTCAACACTTAATTTACGAATCACCAACGAAAAAAACATGTTAAACGATTTTAAATATTCGGATGCAAATCAGAGGTTCATTAATTTTATGGGTTTCGCTTAATATTTTCCAAATCTCTGCGTAAGCCGATAATACCATACTAAAGACATTTTTTGCTTAGCTTCTGTCGTTAAAGTCTGATTAAGATTCGAAACGGATTAACCGGGGCACTTAAGGTTTTTTGTCGTTTTAATGATTCCTTTATCGCACTCATTTCGAACATTTGTTCAAACATTTATTGTAAATACCAGATAGCTTTTACTTAACTTACTGAGTTTTTATCGCATAGCGCGAATTAAATTCTGAGAATTAATTAAGAATAAAATAATCATTATTTAAAAATATAGAAGCATAAACCTTTACACTTCTCGGCGATGTCAACATGGATAGTTCCCTTGGAAACGACCTACTCAGTCTGTAAGAAAAATACTGGTTTGCTTAATACTAAATTACCGCGACACGTTAATATATCAATAGTCCAACTATTTTTAATAAAATTGCCCAACCAACCAGTATTGTGGTCAAGGAGTTTTCAATGTATACATATTTTTTAGTTTTTCCATGAACGCGGCTTTTGCAACCCATTCTCTAATCTGCTATTCCGAACAAATAAAAGTAGACAACGAAAACGAAGCTACATGCATTTCCATGAGTAATCTGTTCCCTTCTATAGTATTTTCGTGTTCCGCTCAGTTTTTCCTAGTTGAAACATTCGTACGTTATCTCAGGATATATACACCGCTGCATGTTCACTGACGCATCGGAGAGTTGAACAAAAACAATGGGAATATTTTTGTTTTCAGAAGCATCAAAATAAACTGCAATACCCCAGTGAACGAATTGAAATAATCGTGTTAACATGATATAGGTTTTAAAGCTAGTTTTTTCCAATGTTTTTTTTCTCATTCGAAGGAAATTTTCAACGGAAATAAGCTGTTTGTTTACATTTTTGTATTTCAATCATGAGCCTTCACAGGCTGATTATTTCTCTTTATCGCTATCGTCAATAGACTTTCAAGTTCGAATAAAAGAAATTAAAGTATGGAGAGGAGACCGCGACCCATATTTTTAAAGAACACTCAAACTACTGTCATACAAAAATGCTTTGGTCCCAAGTACTTTACTGAAAACATCTTCAGGTGTACCCAAATTACCCTTTACTACTAAAAATCTTACAGTTTATATTGTAAAATAAAAGTGCAGCAGAAATGTACAATTTATCTTTAAATTTTTTTAAATATGAATATTTGTTTTGTTATCTACGTGCTGCTCACACATGGTTTATCCGTTGAATGATGAAAGTACAGTTTTTCTAGATACGTCACTATTGTTATCAGTGTATAACAGATATAAATATATATTTTTATTGCTTAGATGGCTGGACGACCTATCGGCCCACCTGGTTTTAAGTGGTTACCAAAGCCTATAGATACTTACAACGTAAATGCCTCCACTTACCTTGTGACATCAGTTCTCAGATTTTACAGAAGGCTGCCCTATCTTTCAAAGCGAAACGCATTACTGTTTCACGGCAGAAATAAGCAGGGTGGTGGTACCTACCCTTGCGGTCTTACACCAGTTATTACGCAAATTAAAATTTTTGGGGGTTTATTTTTTATGCACTATTTCTTCATCGTCGAAGTAATTCGTGAACATTTGTAAAGTCTGTATTTCATTAGAAAAATTGGTACCAGCGGGTCTCGAACACCAACACACTCGCATCGCTCAATACAAATAGGACACTGGGCGTCTTAGCCTTTTAGGCCATGAGCACTTCCTAAGTAATATCAACAAATATATCCATTTCATACATTTAGTAGTAATTATATCGAAGCGTGATTTGTAGTTGTCGAAAAGTATCTCATCGATCAGATTACATATTTTCGTTGTGAAAGTAATTCATTTGTCAAAATTTAGCTTAGAAGAACATTACGTTGAAAATCTTAACATAATTGTAAATGTGCTCATGCTTGTTCTGTGTAATTGAGGCTTCAATCGAGTCTTTTATCGAGACTTTTCATTATATGCTAGATGACAATAATTATCAAAATTCAATCCAAAAACTAACTCTCAATAAATGAATTCAATGTATTTAAATTTACATAAGAGAAACATTCATGCAACATTCTATGAGTTGCAACATTTTACAGAGTACTAAACGCGTTTATACGATGCAAATTGGAGGAGCTAAATCTAATAGCAACTTGTTTCTATAACAGTATTGTTCAACTAATGAACATATTGTTCTTTTATTAGGGATGTCCAAAGTTTTAAAATTAGATGTTGTTGTCACACTTGAATTATAGATAGTTTTACTTTTAATTTTAATTTTTTATTTCCAACGCTTCGAACAATTTACAGTTATCGTGTTGGCCACGGATGGCTGACGGCCGAAGTAACCGTAAAACTGGTTTTTATTGTTGTTTTAAATCACGTAAGCCAAAGGAGCGTTATTCAATACCCGCTAAATTCCAGACCAGACAGTTGTTATATTGTAAATTTATACTGGACAGTAGAATTTTCCAATTGTGAATTGTTTCGCGGAATGACTCAATATCAAAACGTCAGAATTTAGCATAAAATAGAATCGTGTCAATTTTTATATTCAAAAAGCTAATTTTTAATGTTGATTTAAAAAAGAAATGAAATGACAATGAAAAAGAAATAAGCTAAGCCTTTTTCAGGCGAAATTCCGTCATACATTTGGCATTTTATTTACATTTACACATATAAATAGTAATGTGAATACATAAAAATAAACCAAATTCCAGAGCTATATAAAAATATATATCTATATAAAAAGAGTGATGTGTGATTAACTCGCATTGTATCACAATTATATTCGGCAATCGCGTTGGATCCACAACTTTGAGGGTACAACGGAGGCGTTCGTCTGTAATTTTTGCTTTAGATTACGCGTTCATCAACACGAATTTTTTGTGCGTTGTAGTATACAAAACAATAATTAACTATTCAAATAAATTATTATTATTTATAAACGAATATTCGTCCACTAGTTAAAATTCGACGATTATAACGGACGATACAAAATGTTCTGTTTCTCTGTTGTTTTGTCGTTGACATTTTTCTTTCCTTTTTTGTTGGCAGCGCTAAAGTTTCTTAACAGATAAAAACTATTTATACATAGCTGATGTACATACATTGCCCAAGTCGACTTCATAGATAACTAATATGTATTTGAGACTCGACTTTTACATAATATACATGTTTAATAATTTTTCTAAACATTTAAACGCTTCTTTTATTAGTTTAAAAATTTTAATCTACATATATTGTTTCAAAATATTTGGAACATATTCCTTTTTATTTTTTTAAGGGATTTTATGACCTGGTAACTAAGGCCTTTAGGTCAAGTCTTATTTTAATTTTTAATCTTATCTTTATGAAAAATGATAATATGGAGTGAAATTAAATAAAATGAAATGAAATGAAGATGATTAGTTTGAGACATTAATCAACTTGGATGAAATTAAAAGAAATGAGATGAGATGAGATGATATGGGATGAAATATAATCTGAATAAAATGGTGGTCCTTGACTGAGATTTTTTCAGTGGACTTTTTGGAGGAACCCGAGCAGTTAGGTCCAGCGGCTTTGTTTCATTTTCCAACATTTGTGCACTTTCACAGATATTAAACAGTTAATAAACCACCATTATTACACATTTATACCTGAAGATACACTAAATAGACAAAATAAATCAAATCACACAACTTCACTCTTACCGTTCCCGCCAAAAAGTCGGAACATATTCCTTGGAGTAATCGTACGCAGATACTAAAAAAAATATTTGCTATTCAATTTCTTAAGTAACAGTATAGTAATTTATACTAATATATAAATCTACAGTGGTTTTTACGGATGTTCCGTTATAACTACTGAACCATCCATCCGATTGACTTGAAATTTGGTATCCATGTAGAAAATACATGCACTTAATGGATAATATTTATATGAGTATGACTCCCTAAACCAGAGCAGGGCGTTAATGATGAGAATCTTTGTGGGGGTGAGAAATAATAATGTTAATTTTCAATGCCCAGCGAAGCGGACGGGTACAGCTAGTATCTAAAAATTATAAGAGAAAAAAAAGTGAAATTATTTAATCATACAATATTATTTCCAGTTCATTCCAAGAGTATCTACTGTGCTCTGAGCAGACAGTTCTAAAGGCTTGCGGAGATGAGGCTGCCTTGTTCACCAGCGAATTCCTGAAAAGCATGGCATCGAATATCATTAAGGTATGTGCAGGAAATTCAATCGTTTTAAAACTATTTATATGTGAAGCGGTTGAACAAGTGACTTAGATATCGCCGTCCTTTTGTAGAATAACATTTGTCTATATTTTCATTCGGATCATAATGATACTCTATATGACTATCTATGAATCAGAATTATTATATGTTCACCCACAATTATTCGAAGTGGGAGAAGAGAAAGTGTGGACAAAAGCTAAATATAATATACTTTAGGCTAGTAAACTGGTGATGATAAAGTGCCCTTTCTACTTTTTAAATTAATAATTCTTAGATACATTTTTTAATAGTTATATTTTTTTTAAATATTGTTCTTAAATGTTAACGAGGTTACGGCCCACCTAGTGTTAAGTTACCGGAGCCCATATAGACATCAATGTCGCAAATGCCGCCGCCCATTTTGTGACATAAGTTCTAAGTCTCAGTTCTGTAGTACAACGGCTTGACCTTTCAAACCGAAACGACCTATCATTACTGTTTCACGACAGATTCAGTACTTAGCACTTAGTCAGTTTAAAGGTCATCGTGGCCTAAAAGATAAAACGTTCGGTGCATTCGTGTCGAGCGATGCAACGGTATTCGAATCCCGCAAGCGGGTACCAAATGCGTACTTAACAAATGTTCACGATTGACTTCCACGGTGAAGAATAAAATTGGAACCCGCAAAATTATAATTTGCGTAATTACTGGTGGTAGGACCTCTTGTGAGTTCGCACGGGTAGGTACCACCACCTGGCTATTTCTGCCGTGAAGCAGTAATGCGTTTCGGTTTGAAAGGTGGGGTAGCCGTTGTAACTATACCGAGACCTTAGAACTCATATATCAAGGTGGGAGGCGGCATTTACGTTGTAGATGTCTTTGAGCTCCGGTAACCACTTAACATCAGGTGGGCTGTGAGCTCGTCCACCCATCTAAGCAATAAAAAATAAAATAATAAAAAAACCTACTCCTGCAGGCTCACAATACTCACCATACGACCATTATAAATCTTGGTATTGATTCTCATCTCAATTAGATTTGTCCGATGTTACTTACCACTGCTGTTAACTAATTGAGTAGAGTGCGATTCCGAAACTCTCGTAAGAAGCGTACTTACTACAGTCGAATAACACAAAGACGCATTTGACAAAATAAAAGTTTCGCGGATAACGGTGGCCTTGCTTTTCCTGGACTCCCAAAACTTTATTATTTCTTTGATAAGAATAAACTTTCCGACGTCGAAAGCAAGTAATGTTACTTAGAATCTTTAGTTCGCTTCGTGTCTCAAAACTATTCTTAAAAAAACGTTAAAATGTCACTCTTCAACATTTTTGATTCCAAAAGTGAAACACGAGAATATATTATCTCGTTCATAATTTCTTTATTATTAACTTTTACTGTTGGTCGGACCTCTTGTGAGTCCGCACGGGTAGGTACCACCGCCCCGCCTATTTTTGCCGTGAAGCAGTAATGAGTTTCGGTTTGAAGGGCGGGGCAGCCGCAATATAATAAAAATGAAAATACTTTATTTTCAGAATTTTTGCTTCGAATATCGGGGACAGGAATGCGGCTTGGCAGGTAAAGCCTCTCTTAATACACATAGCGTTATTTTGTTCGGTGTTGCCGCCTTAGCGCATTTAACACTGAACGCTGGCAACCTAGTGCCCGCGTAATTCACCACGAATAGTTGCCAGGAAATTAAATTATTGCACGAGGTTCTTGATGTGGAAGCGTGGTTCTAAACGAGCATATCGGACGGTTGAATGCTCACTCGACTGTGTAGTTAATAGTGCGGATGGATGTTTACAGTTCCTCGGTTCGAAGCCTTATTTTATAAGTTAAACTTATATTTAGTTTTTCATTACGTATTGATTTTATTAATCTAACTGTATATTGTATTTATGAAATTCGTTTTGTTGATGATTAAAATAAATAAAAATTTCGTTATTGTTATTTGTTGTATTGTAAACTTTTATTTAAAACAAAAATTTGGTTACATTTCAAATTGAACAGCAATAATGTTTCTAGTCTAATTTAAATCTCGGTTAATACGTAAATAATTTTAATGCGAAAGACATTTTAAAAATTTTAAATACGAAAACACACAGTTAATAAAAATTGGTGTATTTTAATTTATTAGTTCTAATGTAACATTCGAAACAGAATCAAGTAGTAAAAAAGAAAACTGTGCAAGTTATATGTATGTATATCAACGTAGTACGGTATTGTTCGAACTCAAATGTTTGCAACGAAAAATATTATTTTTGCTTTGATAATTATGAATTAGGTAATTAAGATGTTTGTTTTAATCAAAATTGTTGCTTAAATTACACATACACATATAAGTATATGCTTTTTTATAAAACTAATGGATGAGGTAAACGATCACGTGTCTGGTAAATCATATCAGTAGTCAAAGGGATTTCCGGTGTCGTAATATTAACTTGAGATCGCGAACAAAATTAAATTATAAGCGATTTTATTAATTATGATTTATTTTTAGCACGGAAGTCAAATAATTATAATAATACTATTTTATAAAAGTTTTGAATAGCTATAATATATTTTTTTAAATTCAAAGTTACGACTCGTGTCAAATGAGAATTAATATATTTGAAGGAAATACAAACACAAAAAAAAACTATTCTAGAGACAACGTCAGCGCAATATAGAAAATGCGTGAGTCGATTAAAAATACTTAAAACAGTTTCAATAACAATTGTATATTTTATAATTTTGGCTATTACAAAACCATGTTGGAATTGTTTATGCTTTACATTACGCGTCAGATCATGCTGTGATATATATATCGACGCTTGAAAGGCAAACGTGACTAAGCGACAATGCGTGAACTTTACAGTAGACTAATTTAAAGTTGAAATATCTGAAAAAAATCTATTTTAACGGATCTAGCTGTAGGATTGAAATCATTTTAATAGACCTAGAAATATATATTTTTCGCGCATCGAATATGGTTATTGCCTATCATTTATGTACAAAGCAGTCATTGTCGTTTAATCAGGTTTGCCTTTCAAGCGTCGATATGTACCTAACAAATGATTTTGTTAACATGTATCTTTGTTTTCGCTGAGTAATCTTGTTAGGGCAGATCTTAGCAAGTTCTCTCAGGCTGAACATTGTGAGCTCGACCATCAGTCAAGGTGAAGAAGCCTCTCGAAGCTATTGGCTGATAGGCAAAAAAGTAATGTAACGTACATTGAGGAATGGTGTTTATTTAAATAAAGCACAAAAAAACATAAAACTAATATTACGCAATATGGCACGACGCAGTTTTGTATTTATCCAGCGATTCTTCTAGAATGTATTTATAAGTTGAGATTTGTACTTTTACGTAAGGAATGTATGAAAAGACTTTAAAATAAAAAAAATATACAGTAAAAAAATGCATCACTAATTGAGGCCGTCAACGCAAAAGTGGCCTAACCCACAATTCATATTCGTGCTTATGTATTGCAATTTATTTAAAACATAATAAATTTTGATGCAAAATCGGCCTATCCCTAGTTTCATCCATAGATAACAGATGACTTTGTAAACATCATTTTAGCGCGCATTTCTTTTACCTACGAAGTATTGTAATGGTAAATTTGAACCTCACTATCTCCATACTAACTATGATAAGCTAAGGCCAATTTTGCGCAGCCGACCTCAATTTTAATGTTACCAACATAAGTTTTTTTTTAGTAATTACGAGAAAATTAAACAGAAGTATGTTTGTAATTGCGGAATTTTGTTCAGTAGATGCCTTTTGAAAATGTTAATCTTTTCTTTATTTATTGTAAATAACATTATATATTTGCTAAGCTCAGAACACCCTGTGATAGATCGTAGGAAACAAGTTGTTATATATAACGTAGGTAACAAAATAATGCACAGTTTTATATCTTAGTGTACATATGTATAAATATTAAATTGAATCATAACATAATAATTAATGAAAATGAATATAACAAGTATTTTACTGGTGGTGGTAGAACGTCTTGTGAGTCCGTTCAAATAGTTCCCACCATCCTGCCTATTTCTGCCGTCATGCAGTAATGCGTTTCGGTTTGAATGGTAGTCGTTGTACTGTAAAAACTGAGACCTTAGAACTCATGTCTCAAGTTGGGTGGCGGCATTTACGTTGTAGATCTCCCTGGACTCTGGTAACCACTTAACACCAAGTGGACCGTGAGTACATCCACCCATCTAAGCAATAAAAATTTGGATGTGTCAAATAATTTAGTATTGAAAATTTTAAATTTTAACGCGCACTTTTATTTCGAAAAGCAGTTAGGTTGATTATGAAATCTTTTTTTCCAGTAGTTATTACACATCGACAATTTTTTTTTTTTTGCAAATTATTATTTATTATTAAATGCACTTGTATTAATCTATGCACTGGATTTTTATATTGTAAGTGATTTGTAAATAATCTATAATATATTAAATAATATTATATTAATATCTTATCCGTTCCGTATTAATTAGAAAAACTTGTAAAAGACGCAGTCTTTAGAGATTACGAAAAATAAAATAATCTGAAATCATTAAATTGAGTTTTTATTTATAATAAATCTCATCTCCTTGTATCCTGATACAGCAGATAAATATCAGGGGTAAAGAAAGGCCATTTGATTTAAACAACATTTTTGCAACATTACAGGAGAACTATTTAAAGATTATAATTTGGAAAAAATATCGTAACAAAAAAAATCTTCAGCTATTAGAATGGGGTAAATTTAATTGAAGTTCAATTAAAAACATCGAATAGTTGATGCTAATACCAAACTTGGCGTCGCTCGGTGGAGCAGGAGCTTGGGGTCTTGGGCATGACGTGGGAGGAGCTAGAACAGACTGCCCAAGACCGATATAAATGGAAAAATTTGATTCGAGCCCTACACCCCAGCAGAGGGTAATAGGAAAGCATGATGATGATGATGAATACCAAATAAAACGGACATTTAATTACAATAATAAATGTCGCGTATTAAGCGAAATGTCGCTTAAACCAAATGGCCTTTCACCCCTCGATATATATATTTTTTAAGATTGTAAAACAGCTGATGATCACATGGAGTATTGTAGTCATTTAACTTATACATTTTGTGAAGTCAATTAAGGTATGTTGTGAGCTCGCGTGGAATGACATTGTCTATTGCAATGAGTTCACCGGTGGTAGGACCTCTTGTGAGTCCGCACGGGTGGGTACCACGGCCTTGCCTATTTCTGCCGTGAAGCAGTAATGCGTTTCGGTTTGAAGTTGTAACTATACCGAGACCTTAGAACTTATATCTCAAGGTGGGTGGCGCATTTACGTTGTAGGTGTCTACGGGCTCCAGTAACCACTTAACATCATGGGCTGTGAGCTCGTCCATCCATCTAAGCAATAAAAAAAAAGTCGCGTTGTGGTTTGAAGGAAAAAAGGCTAGGAACCCAATTCAATTGTGAATTTGGTCTTACGGGTCTACGCTCTTACGGTACCTACAGAGGGGTCTGGTAACAGGTAACACGGTAATAGATGGGCCATGAAAACGTCTAGCCATCGATTTAAATAAACTTTTCTTCATACAATACACAGAGCTATGCAAACACGAGCAGTGCATCAGATGTTGGAAAAAAAAAAACTCGGTCAGACCTCACCGTAAAGTTTTCGTTTGAAAGTTGCGATTAAAAAAAAAAAGAAAAGAAAAAGAACCGCCTCCGAATTTTTCCTACCTCTTTGTTTTGTGACCTTTTCGAGGGATTTTCATTCGTGCAACTTCATACAAAAGTGAAAATTCTCGATGAAGCTGTAGCGACAAAAAGAAAACCGTAAAAGTACTTTTAATTGTGTCTACGACCTCGAAACCCCAGGAAAATATCGTATTTATGTACTTTTCTTTTATATTTATTCGTGCATATTAATCAGTTTAACTGTAATTGAGAAAAAATCACGCACGGAATGCCCCCAATTTAACATTCCCTGTGTTATGGGTACCAGATACTGGCATACATACTTATATATGTTTGTTCCAGTAACCACTTAACACCAGGTGGGCTGTGAGCTCGTCCACACATCTATGCAATAAAAAAAAAAGAACTTAAACTAATATTATAAAGCTGAAGAGTTTGTTTGTTTGTTTGAACGTGCCAATCTCTGGAACTACTGGTCTGATTTGAAAAAATATTTCTGTGTTAAGTAGCCTATTTATCGAGAAAGGCTATAGGTTATAACATCACGCTGAGACCAATACAAACGGAGCACTAATAAAGAATGTTTCAAAATCGGTTTTTTTTTTCCTTTTTGAGAGCTTTCGCTGCGTGCGCTGCGGAAACGGTTAAAGTTTCGCTAAAATAATATATGACAGTATTGTTCTCCTTTAAAAGGCCTAAAAAAAGTCCGCGACAGCATAATATGTTAAGGGTGGCTCACTATAACGTTTTTTATGCTAACCAAATTTGTTCTAAAATAAAGCATTATTTGTGAAAGTGTTTTTATGAAGATGATATTAATCCCATTCAAATAAATACGTTATTCATTACAAGTATTTAATTTTAAAGAAATTTACCCACACTTGATTTTAATGAGTATGAGAAGATATCGTAGTTTTAAAATAACATTGTAGCAAAATAATGATCAAGCGCGCAATATTGATGTACAAGGCGCCGGCCGGCCGGTGTGCGGCGGCACTGAATAAGAACAATAACAAGAAACATCCAAATCCCCGCAAGATAGGCTCTGAAAATTATAGATTTTTCTGGATTTCTCCAGGATCCCATCATCAGATCTTGATGATTACAGGACAATTCGGGAAGTCTACCCTTTCAAACAACAAATAGAAAAGAGAATTATCAGAATCGGTTTAAGCATTCTTGAGAAATTGGTGAACATACATAGATAAAAAATGGTGGTCGAATAGATAGACTCCTTTTTTGAAAAGTAAAAAATCGTGATTTTGGTATCTTAAATAGCTCCTTAACATTTTATTATTCAAAAATATTTTCATTTTCTACGTAAATGAAGCCGCGGGTAAAATTTAGCGTTATGCCAAACTATTCCACGTGATCGAGGTCGCGGGCAACAGCTAGTCCATAATAAACACCCAGACAAAGAGCAAATAAACCTGTTCATCACAAGAATGTTTGCCCGATGTGGGGAATCGAAACCACGACCCTGGGCGCAACAGTTCTAGATGCTATTGCACCATTTAATTTTTATTTTATTTTATTTTATTTTATTAGGAAGACAAACAGTGAACTTAAACTATATAAACTCTAAACTTACTACTAAACACCATTTAAATGTCTCCGCATTCGATGAATACTTCAGGTATGTGTATGTCGTTTAAGACTTTTAAGAGTCATGATTCTTGAAAAACCGCAGCTTCCGCAACTCAACATCTAGCATGCTGAAATTAAAAAAAAACATGACATATATTTTTTTATACTTTTAGGTATAACACTTTTATTTGAAATATAATATTTTATATATTATATTTAATGTTTGTTGTCTTTTAATATTTGTGATATTCTGCTTGGATGTTAAGCTTAAGATCTTTTCGATATCGTTTGTCTTAATAATTTAATTTGTAAAATCTTTCTTTCTGTTTACTATAAACTAATAGTTTTTAAAACTTGATTCATGTTAACAATCGTTAG